CAAAGTATCGTCCTTGTCTCCGAGGTCCGCCTGGTCCATGGGCCCGCCGTGGTCGCCGTCGAATTTCCAACCTGAGAAGTGTCGAGTCAGGATGTGCCTGAAGTTCTCTGGAAGACCGACTTATAGTCAGCATGTGTCTGCAACGATTTTCACCGAATGTTGTCGCGACAATTCCGAGATTATTTAGTTTGTCGCGAAGCATTTAGAAGGCAGTCGGGTAAAGGATGCCAAGAGACTCCATCTGGGGCGCATGGTGGGAAGCCGAGGATGAAGCTAGCAAATAGTTGATGTAACCCCTCTTGGTGTGGTACTCCCTGCCAGACCTAGCTGGCAGGCAGGCCTTTACCGACCTATCGACCGTCCCAAGGGAGTGGTATAGTCTTTTTTCTTCACGCCGGCCGCTTCGTGCAGACGGAATAGCGGAAGGTGACCAGAGAGGTCGAAACGTGCATACCTGCTCCACGAGGCGTTCACTCACACTATCTCGTCATTGTGAAGTGCTGGTAAGCACCCGGCAATCCTGCGTGGCCTCTAGCGGTGACGGGGCGTTAGCAACAATCAACGTAGCAATAACCAACGTTTCCCATCGACTGGAACAGACACTTGCGGCGTCTGGGCAATATCATGTTAGGTGTGTCTCGTCGCCTGGAGGATACCGAAACCGGATACGATCGAGACACATCCTTTTGGTGCGGGTCTTGATCAACGCATCGCCGCTTGTCTGTAATGGGGGTTGTCATCCAGAAATCGGGGCGTCAGCAGCACGACTAGTCTTTTACCAAAAGATTGATTTAGCGTTGAGCTCATGCAGCCTACGACCGGCCCTAAGCGGCTGCTTGGCTCAAAATGTAGAGGTCATTGAATCGGGAAAAACAAACGACCCGATCGTTGCGCGCTCTTCGGCGGAGTAATTGCCGTCTCAGAGGAAAAAGCAAGCAAGACAACAGGTGGTCTTTGGCTTTATTGCTTTTTCTTGTGGTGATGGGCTATAGCAGCGGGGTTTCGTGTTTTACGCCGAGACGTCGAGTTTTCCCACTAACCACATTGCCTCAGACATGCCTTTGACCATTGTGGCCATGGGATTGATGGTTGGCTGGCAACTGTACGAGTATCTGGGCAGCGGCCGCAAAGAAGGTGGTGGTCTCGGAGCATGAGCATGCATAGCTGCAGCAGCTGCAGCACTGCAAGACCTTCTCTAGCGTGGTGGAGTCGTGGGTTTGTCCAGGCCGGCAGTTTTGGATCGATAGGATGTGACGATATCTTGCTTTAACACTATCGCTCGAGACGAGCCAGTGCAATATGTGACAAACTAGGCCGAGCGAGCCCTCCAATGTAGGGCGGTAGGTTCCAGGTGAGTCGGCGGGCGATGGGTGTGAGTACTGCTGCAGTGTTCAAGCAGAACGAACCATTGATGGGTCAATGTGGGCGCGTCAAATGGTTGGATCGGCCCCCGGCTGACCACCTCAAACCCGTAAGCAATGCTTTTCCAGCGCCATTTTCAGGAAGGAGTTGGTTCTGCACAGGAGCGTGGACAGCCTGCTGTGTAACAGGACTTGACTAGATGCACATGTATCCAAGAATGGACGGCGTCATCACCTCTTTCTTGAAGAGCACAGCTAGGTATTCAATGCATCCGCAGTGCCTGAGCCGGAAGTGTATGTGGCTTCAGGCGAACAAGACGGGCGGTTACGGATACAGAGCGTCCCAACTTTGCTGTGCTGGAGGTCCTACTCAAGAAGATGCGTACCTAGATGAGTGAGGCGCTAGGGCGTGAGACATGCCGCAGACGAGGGATTGAAATGATGGTGTTGCAGAGAAGTTCGTCATGGACCCGGTGATGGATCTCGACGGGGTGAGAAAGGAGTAGCGTGGGCTAGACAGACGAGGATGATGAGAGGCCGCGCGATGTGATGATGTAGGTAGGAAACATCGGTGGTACTGACGGAATCATGAAGTTGGAAAGAGGCGGATCCTGTCTGGAAAGAAAGGTGAGACCTCGGCGGCCAATGAGACGCTGTCTTGTCCATGGCTTGGGTTTGGAACTTGTAGAGCAAAGAGGGGGCGACTGTCGTTGGTGATAGTCGGGACCTGGAAAGGGCGAGAAGTGTGGAAGAGAAAGCACGCTGGTGGCAGGGCACCTTCCTCCCTGCAGTAGTCTAACCAAGTTTGCGACCTTCAGTAAGCGGGAAAAGACAAGTGCATCTTGGTGCCTTCCAGTCTGGGTTTGCCTCTGAGCTGGAACCAGCTACCTTACCTAGTAAGGCAAGTTTTCTGACATTTGGGGCAAGGAGATTCGGGGCAAGAAAATCTAGGAAAAGAGAATCAGGACATTGAAGGCGGCATGGAACACTTTCTTCCCCTCCATTTCTGACCTCGGGGTTGGTCATGCTTAGGGTCTACGGAGTACCGTCCGAGGAAAAAGAGACACGATCTATCTTAGCCTAGAATTGTGCAAGGACCTGGCCGGGGCGGGAGTCTGAATTTTGGGCCGAAAATTGGACCCTGGAAATATCGTGGGCCCTTCCAACGTATTCCCGGTCGGCAAAGTTGTGTACATAGAGCACCAGACTTGGTCATAAAACCAGCTTCTAGCAATTTGCCAACCATACCCAGTCTCGTGTATCTGTGCCTAGCAAGCATGCCACAACTGTAGGCAGACGAGGATGATCAGCATGTATAACAAAGGATGTTCATGTTCGTGAAGTTTTCTTCCATCATGTGGTCATGAGGTTTCTAACCGGCTAGCTAACATATCTGACCCATTTGCTATACTGTGCGAGGCCGAGGTGGTCACGCAGGACTCATCCTAATCAATGTGGTCGTCGATGCAGGCAGTGAGGGAGCCGAACTCTCGGCAACAGGCATGACAAAATATCAGACCATGCGTTCCCCCCATAGCCCTCAAAACGGGGCCGAAAGAAAGCAGGGCAGAGTTTTTTTTTTCTTTCTTTCTTTCCCAACTCCTGTTTCTCGCCGTCCGAGTCCGTCCGAGTCCGCCAGGTTGTCAAAAGGCGCAGTCGACATTGGACGGACCTAGGGTATAAAAGATAAACCTCGCCGTAACAGTAGGTAGGTTAGAGACGGTCGATGGTCGGTGCCACCGGCGTGACGATCGGGCCGTTCCTAGCACATAGTCTACTTCAAGCCCGTACCGATGCCGAGGACCCCGTCCGAAAACTTCCACAGGCCGGCGGGAGGGAACATTAATTTACCAGTGTTTTCACCAATGCAGCAAGCAAGAACTAGCGGACCATAGGTACATACTTCAGTACCGAGCAGTCTTTCGGGAATGGACGAAAAGAATGAGGAAAGCAAAGGGTCTAAGTCCGCACCCGCGTCAAGCAGGTACCACGGTTCATGCTTATTGTTGGCGTTGGCAAAAGTCCCTCGAACCTCTGAGGAAGCGAGCACGGATACTCAAGCCTATCACCAAGGGTAATGGCTCGCCCAAACATGAACCAAGGGAGGAATGACGCTGATCTCAGGGGAGAAGCTTAAACACACTGCATTGTCGATTACACGAATCTGTATCTGTGCATGCAGCATGTATCGTCCGAATCTGCTAATTGGTTAAGGCACCCTACCAAGACCCGAAGTTATCCCCGACGCCTCAGATAGACGGTGCAGGTAGGCAACAAAATCCGGACTTAACGTCGTTTGTCTGCCGTGCGAGTCCCCCACACTCCCGTCCGCATGCCAGAACGATAGGTAATCACACAGAGAGGAGGAACCATCTTGAAGTTGGAAAGCCGTTGGTCTTGGTCCTGGTCTTGGTTTGCAGTTCTAATCCTGGTTCGGCCTGGGGGCGTACGGCATGCGGCATGCCAGACTGTCCCCTGGGCCTGACATAACGCTCAGTGCGCCCATGCCTGCTACTGACGGAAGGGAATCGCGTACAGAGCGTGAGAGAGAGAAGGAGGGAGGTGCGGATAGCTTATCCCGGCAAGGTGACAAGGTTCGTACGGACGCTACCCTACCTCGCGGCTTGGTACAGTACGACGGTGCAAGAGCGGGCAGTAGTGGTGTACTGGTCCATGGGTGAGTTGTGGTGCATTCCGAGATACTTTGGACTTTGTATTTGGCTCCGAAGCTCCGTGCGGCGCGCCTGTCCTTACCAATAAGTGGAGTGTTTACCTAGGTACATACATAGATGGGCGGCCGCACCCTGTTCCCACCCGGAACGTGCTCCAGCGGTACGTACCTCTCGGTTCACCTGGCATGGAAGTTTGACTACCTAGGTAGACGTTCCCGTCTGGGTTGGCTGACGGTTCTGTCAATCACCACTCCGTTGCCGCTTCCCCCCCAAAATGCAATGCAATCCATCTAGTCCAATCCAGTCCAGTCTAATTCCGTCCAATCCTCATCCCCGCCATTTTACCCGAACTTCGTGATCGGTCTCCAGCAGTTTTCTTTTCTCGACTCACACTCCCTCCCCTTCGGTCACCCGTCCATTCAGCATCAATCGAAGCTTGCCCACCGACGCCTCTGGCTCCAAACTACGGCCTACGAATATAGTCTACTCCGTACTCCGTACCTACAGTCCATCGCCGGCTCAACCTGCCATCGCCTACGGGTACTGTGCGGGAACATTGCACCCCGACTTTCCGCTGCCCACGTTCCCTTGTCCCACGCACTGCTCCGCGCACTCTGGAAGCCCGGCCCAGGCCCGCTGCTAATCACCCACCTACCAACCACTTTCCCTGTACCTCTTCGTAGAGGGAGCAAACATGCGTTTCTTGGCTTCAACGTTTACTGCATTCCTGCGCCGCCTCCAGCACATACCGATACCTACCTCTTGAACCCTGGAATGGAGCCGTTGAACGATAACCGCGTTCCCTTCCAACCGTCCTTTGTCCTCGTTGCCTTGTCTGTTGCCTCGCTGACGTCGACATCTCTTCAGCCGCGCTGGACGAACAACGGCGATAGCTTCGCAGTTCTTCGCCGTTAGCTGCGTACGGTCGCAACTGTACTGCAACGCTAAGTTGTCAATCTTGGCCATCATGGCCATCCATACAGTATTACTCCGCATGCCTGAATGCCTACCGGATGGAGCTGACAATCTCACAAGCGGACGTACAAACTACAAACACCTCCAGTCAAGGATCAGACGCCTCTGGCATGCGACAAGACGCCAGGGCAGGACGCCAAACAGGTCACCCCCCGTTCGGAACCCATCCCCGACCGCGCCATGCTTGGTTCTGATCCGCTCCCTATGCAGGCTTCATCCCATCTTGCGGCCCCGGCCTTATAGCATGCCCTAACCACCCGTCTGACGACGTCCCATTGAGCACGGCCAGCGGAGGGGCCTTCTTGCTGGCAATCCAGCAACCAGCCATGCTCGACCCTCTTCCATTCTCCCTGCCCGCGGCCTTCTCCTGGCAAGAGCAAACAAACCGTCTGAATGGACATGCACCTTGCCATTCTACCACGGTTAGCGACGAATAAGAAGCATTCCCCGCATGTTCCGATGGGGCACCGAATCCCCATCAAAATTTGTTTGCTTGCCATGCCAACGTACTAACTTCCGCGCCGTACCGCTTCCCGCAGGTGGCCCTGAACTGTCAAAATTTTCGTGAAGCGCCTTCAAGTCAACGCAACGGAGTCATACACCGGCCTCTGCCTCCTAAGGCCCCCGCTCAACCCCGTCTGGAAGCAAGGGCGAACCTAAGCGCTAGAAATGGATGCTACAAACACTACTTACTTTTGAAAGCCACACAAAACGCACCCGCGCTGGCATAGCGAGCTTAGCGGCGAACTCAACATGGCTATTTGGGGGTCATTTCCGTTCCTGCGAGACTTCGGAATGCCAAAACGACGATGATGGCTACTACTGGTAGGGAACGGCCGAATCCCTGCCATTGATCTTTGGAGAGAGCTTTGAGCTAAGAGAGCGCTTGGTCAAAACTTATGTTGAATAGACTGGACAGTTATTGTCATGTAGGCACCTCGATCCGTGACCAAGCGGCGATCTTGAATGGCACAGTCCTCCTAACTCACAGATCTCCAGAATGAAGCTTCCCGAAGGCTACTCACAACAACCCGCGAGTCACTCTAGTTGCTTTTTGTCGTCTCGCTAGAGTTAGACAGCACGCCAGCCGTACAATAGTCGAGAGCCCTGATTACTCGAAACAGGCGATGTGGCAGCATGTCATTGTTATATCTCGACGCGTGTAGCATCTTCGGTCTTGAGTCCAACACGACTTGTACCAATGGTTTTCACTCTCTCCCTCATTCAACAACGACCCACCGTTCGATATCTTTTACTAGCAGTCCTAGCTTTCCGAACCGAAAAGCCTGAATGGACATTCATTATTCCCTGCTTGGGTTGCAGTCTCCATGCCATCAGTTACCTGATAATTCTAATACTTAATGAAGCTTTTCAAAAGTAATTAGGGTGCTCCAGGAAGTCTTTCAAGGCTTATTTAGCGTGCAACAACATCACGAGAGGAAAAGAAAGCCCTGAGACGAACAGCGCGGGCTCGAATGATGCAATGGCCATCCAGAGATGCAGCCAATGCCATGTAATCAATGGAGACCCGTATAACTGGCAAGGCTTTTGCCGACCGATGCGCCGTTCAGCCCGGCCCACCGCTGTCTCACTTCGACCCCTGCTCTTCGACATGGGCTGTCTCCCACACCTTCATGCACTCACACAAATTATGATTTTTTGTCTGGCCTTACCTCTCGCAACAGCCGGCTACTCAGTTCAACTGAGAATGGACAGAGCGGTAAACGCTTCGACGAATTTGGCACCGGCTCGCGAATCTCGCACCAAACAGGTGTTCGAGTTGCTAAACGTTGCCACAGGATGGAATCTGTCCATCGCCTTGTGGTCCCCGTGGCCAATATGCCCTCATCTGTTGCAAACTCAGACCTTGAGAGGCCAACCTCGTCGACTTATTTGAGGTGAGTGGAAACCAGAGAAATGAAGAGACATCTGCAAATCCAGATACTCCGGGCTCTGGCCGATCAGAGCCTTCAACTTGCGGGCCATTGCAGCAGTTTTGCTCAGTCTGCAGACGGTTGGCAGCGGGGGTGCCTGGGGAGGATGACCAGGGCTACGAGGATCGCCCTCCGCAACCCTCGCATTCAGTGACAGCACATGGTGGGTTTCTGGCCGGGAGGACTACGACTAGGGTCTCCGTTCGACCACATCTGGCTGTGTTTGGTCTGGTACAGGCCTTGTATGCACGAAGATGCGTACCGCCCATGTCTGGTATAGTACATGCTCTACTTGGTCTGCTCACAGTAGTGCAAACACCATGGATGAGCTGGGGGGGTTGCCTCGGGAGGGGTGGGTGTGAACTGTGGTCTCCTGCAGACCACCTGTTGGGATGTCGAGCTGCGGCATTGGATGGGATGGTGGTGTATCCGTACGGGAACTCTTGACTCTCGAGCACACTCTCCCTCCTGGCTGGCACCTGCCACACCTTATCAGGCTGCGGACCAGGGAGGGAAGAAAGTGGAGGTTCAACCTAGTCCTACTCTCTCCCCTTGCACAGCTTCACAAGTATCCGTACGGATACCCTGACCACATTCCACCACGTCCACATCTAAAGGCTTACCTGAGAAAGCCTTTTTATTCTATCCCGCCCCCCTTCTTTACTCCACTGTCGTCAGTCCCGCGCCGGAAAGACTTGCTGTTCTGCTTCAGGCGTGTGTGCTCATCCGTTTTTCTTTGCCTTTTCATATGGCACTCAGACGGACACGTCCTCTCCATATTACTGCGGCTCACCAGTCCCTGGTTCTTTCAACTTGCAGTCCAGCCAAGAGCTGAAGGAGGGTAGAAGCTCACGCTGACTAGACCAGGGTACCTCCTGGTCTGACTTCCTACTTTTCTGCTCGTTCATGTTTCCACAACTGCGGATGCCGGTCTCGCTGCCCCTCGACCTCAAGTTGTCTGCGCGGCCTCTCTGCTCAAACCCCCCCTCGCTTGCGGGACACTGCTTCTCGCCCGCACTCCTCAGCTGGCTGTCACATACCACGGCAACAATCGAGATACACTAAAAAGCCCTAACTCAGATCATTACGAGAGGTACGGGACCCGTCGACAAGCTCGACTCGCCTCCGCCTTGCAGGTCCATCCTTCCTCCAAGATCCACCTCAGCCCGCGAGCCTCGAACTCATCTAGGGCCTTCACCCTCCACTGCTCCAGTTCGTGGTCATTGGCTCTTTCCTTCTCCTCTGATTCTCTTCCGAAGACAGCCGTATCCATTTTCCTCGTGTCGGCCTTGGAAGCATCGCAAACGCGTTCTTGTTGGCTGCTTTGCTCTCTCCCCCCTTCCTACTCCCCAGCATCACCTTTTTCTTGGTCTACAGTCCATTCTACACATCACCCTTCCCTCCCCGAGACATTGCGTGGAGAGTTGCGCTCTAAGACAAAACCGCGAACCAGTGGAGAGGCTCTCCCCCCGATGTCTCAAGCCGTCTTGAAAACAAAGAGGACTTTGAGGTCCGCCCTGGCGCCCAGTCTCGCGAACTGATAGATTTGTTTGAACCACCCGGTCCCGCTCTCTCCGCCGACCTTTTTTCCCCCAAAACCCCGTAACGCCCCTGACGGATCACAAACCTCCTGCTTTGTCGTATCTTTCACTTGGAACGTCAATTTCGTCTCTTTAGCCACGAAACAGCGTCTAGCAATTTCACTGCACCAAGCAAGATCCACGCTCGGAAGCTATTTGTCTAGCCAACACTTACGATCCGACGCAGCATCCCGCTCCTATTCTGTTGGTCTGCTCTGGATCCCAATCTGGCTGGTATTCTTCGGCCGGACTTTGGAATATCTACTGAGCCACCCGCTAAACAAACGTCGGGGCGAGTCTGGCTCTTTACTCCGTCTACCCTCGCGCAGTCATTTCGACATATCACAGCCAACCTCCAACAACATCCCGTGGCCATCAGGCTTGAATATCCCCCAAAACAGTACAATCTTGCCTTGTGCTAGGCTTGATCACGCCGGGATCACATTGAGGTCTGACTTTTGTGGTCCTTTCCTACACACCTACTTCTGTTCCACAACAATCATCTCTCAGAAGTCCCACCCTCTACCACATATTGTAGGATATTCGAATGCAGATATCAGCACCTCAATGTTGTCTAACCATTGTGTAGTTACACATCGTATTCGTCCCATCACCTTCTGTATTTGGTTGGCAGCGTTACACACCAAAATCGCTTACGATAGCCTCTTAAAACTCATACGACGACTCGGTTCTCCTGCCTTAACAAGTGGACGCACTCTTCTTCCTGTCGGTTTGCTCTCTGATCTAATTGTGCCGTGGCCATGGTCCGCGACTACAATCGGGAGCCTTACCCTCGGCAATGGCCCCCTGAACGATTTCCAATTGACCATCCACCCCCCGAGGATGGTAGATACCACGAAGCTCGCGACGCTCGCAGACCTCCGATGGTGAGTAGGCGCAACGCTATCGACGTCTGGCGTAGATCACTTACAGTCAGTAGGATATCGAGAAGGCCCTCCGTGATCACTGCAACATTCCAGCCAAGAGATTCTTCATGGTAGCCGTGTTGGATGATGGCTCTACACAGATGTTCATGAATACGCCGGAGAGACAACCCAACGCTTACAGCAAATTCTTCAACTTGAAGAACTTCGTTCGTCATGTGAATAACGTCAACCACGGGAGTGGTGTGCGTCCTGGTGGGTTATCCAAACTGTGCCGTACTATATGGTTACTAACCCCCACAACGCAGTTGCCACCCCTGTTCATGATGATTCCGAATTCAGCCTTGATGGTGATGGCTATCAACAAGCATTTGGTGGCAGCTATGGTCATCGACACGATCGTCGTCGACTTGGCGGCGATATCTATGACGAGGATGGAAGCTACAAGACGCGCAAGAGGCACAGAGCAGGTATGGGCGGCGGCTACCGGAGACCTACCAACGACGATGACGACGTTGCGATTGTGGTTGCATCGAGCTCCAAGAAGACATTGAAAGTGGGCGACGAGAAGGACTTGTGGAATCTCTACGAGCAACGATTCAAAAACTGCCAACAGACAGCCTGCAAGCTCATCGCCAAGGCTTGGGTCAAGGTGGTTGAGCCTAAGAAGCAGACGAATCACCCCTATACTGGCCAAGACGAAAAGGCCCCCGACTGGTGGCCCAAGCCATGGGGACCTACGAAAGAAGAGAAGGTCAGACACAAGGAGCCTGATCATCTCTATAAGCGAGGTAATATCTCCTTTTAGCAAGCACCTTTTCTAGATGCACCTACTAACGATTAGGACAGAGCGAGTCCACCTTCTGTGTCACATACTTCGAATGATCGTGGAACCACCTGAGAAGCAACACCCGGCCATCCGCAAAATGAACTTGAGCATTTTAAAGCTCGAAGAAGCGACGACGGAAGCAATGTCGGCTTTCTTTGCGGATAAAGAGAACAAAACAAATGCCAAGAAGAAGCCGTATCTAGATGAGATTTTCAAGGTTGCCAAGATGGAGGAGAGGTACAAGAACGGTGAAGTTGGTAAGCGCAAACTTTGTCACACCGACAGACTCGCTGCTAACAGTTCTAGACGGGGATGCTCAGGTTTTCGTCATGTCGGAGGACAAATTTTCAGAGAATTATCCCTCGGACAATGAAGACAATGGCTTTGTCAAGGAAGAGGACGAACATCCCTCAATCACATCTAGCGTATCGCCATCGAAGACGGGACCACAGCACGATCTCTTGCATAACTCGACCAGCGATCATAGCCCAACAGGGCCGTTGCACGGAGGCCCTTACATGAGCGACATGCCGATGCGCGGCCAACAGCAATACTCGACACAGATGCTTTCCTCAAACATGCATCCCGAGCACCATTTTGTGGAAACCAACAACATCCACCAGTCTGGCATGCCACTTCAAGACCTTGTACCGACGACACACGATCCGCACCGTCGCACGTCCCTGTACACTTCACCTACGGAGTACTCAACTACCAACAATGCCGGGATCTATTCACAGCCATGGCAAGGGAGCTCAGCAGCACCTGGTGGCGCTTCCGTCTACTCGTTCACACCGCAGCAACCCGGAACCGGACAAGGACACTTTGCGAACCCTAGTGTGCCACTCAACCAAAACCAGTACATTCCCACACCGTACGACAACATCTCGCGGAGCGGCTTTGATCAGGTTTTCCGGCCTGTAAGCGCCAGTCAAACGCCGGTGCAGAACTCTCAGGGGTTCCCAAATTACCTGCCTACCGACACACGCGGATTACCTGGGTCGGGCGGGAAAGCGGAAGCACTCGCAAGAGGACAAATGCATTGATTTGAGACGAAGTGAACCTGGGACAGATGGTTTGGCCAGCGCGAGGCATCATGAAGTCTTCCGCATATTAAGAGGGGCTGGAAGTAACAGCACAGCTCAGGACTAAAGCCCATTGCGGCAACACTTTAACGGCCTACACGATCTTAGGGTGACTTGGGCACGTTCTCTCGACTTGACGACCACCGGGATTTCCGAAGCAAATCAACAAAATATTAGGCGCGACCAACACAGCAACCACAACCTCAAGGCTACAGGACTAGGTACATCGGAACATCAGAACGGGAAACCAAATGACGGCGTGAAAGGTGCTTTCCAGGATTTTAATGGGCACGGCCATTGTTTTCACTTTCCTAGGGAGCGGCAATTCTACTTTCGTATCATCATCTGCGGGTCAAGAAGCAATCACTTGACAACGGAAGCATACCGGAGCGCAACAACCAGCGACAGCAGTCTTCAGACCACATAAGCAGAATATGAAGCAAGGTGGGGTGGCGGGAACATTTGTCATTTCGAAGACGATGACGACGACGACGACGGGTCGAGGTCGCGTCTAATAGAGCGATGAAGCGTGTCGATTTGCTGGAGTTTTTGTTTCTGATTTAAAACGAGGTCGACGCTTGGGTT